TTCTTGCTTCTTGACTCTTTTCTGTTTGGTCATTATTTGCTTTCTTCTGGTCCACTCCATTGATTTGAGTCCCAGTTTCCTTTTCATTGCTATTGGTGTCCTGTGCAATTCCATTCATTTCAATTAGTTTCGCCTTCATATATTTGTCTAATTTGTGGCTATAATCAACCAGTTCTGTGAGGATCCTGATCACCAGTGTTTTAAACTGTGCGTCTGAGAGTTTTCCTATTTCTTCATTGCTTATATCTATAGGCTCTGGGGCTTTGAGATCTTCTTGTGCCATTTTTGGTCTGTTCGCGCCCTTTAAGTGTGAGAAGCGGCGCCTTGGTCTCCCAGGTCACTGGGTTGTGACGCTACATGTGGGGGGCGTGGTCACAGCGGGGAAATGGCGACCCCCTCTGCTGTTTCTCACTGCTGGGTGAGGAGCAGAGGCTTAGGTGGTTCACCTGGGCCGGCCACTCAGAGTCACTGGGTTATGACGCTGTATGTGGAGGTGGGGTCAGAGCAGGGAAATGGCGGCACCCTCCACTGCCGCTCGCCGCGGGGACCCACCAGGCCCAGGTCCAACCGCCCCGTTCCTCGCCTGTCCACCCGCGCACAAATTCGCAACCACAGTCAACATGCAGCCCCGCTTCCCCACTATCTCCCCCGCAGTCGCTCGCCTGGTTGCTCGCTTGGTCGCTCACTAGGTCCAACCCTGCGCCTGGATTCCGCGTGCCTAAGTCCGTCTGACCGAGTCCTCCTGTGCAACCCCGCTTCACCAGCCGCTGGTTTCGCCTCTTACCGGTCAGGCTGAAGAATTTGTTGTTAACGGACTTCGGACAAGTTCAATTTTCCGTGTTCTGGCTATGTTTTCTGTTGTTAATATTTAATTGTCTCTAAACTTGGTTGTGTGAGAAGGCACGGCACGTCCACCTATGCCTCTATCTTGGCGGAAGTTCTGATAGGTGTTTTTGAAGGAAAAGATTCTGACCAGGAGATCAAAGATTATAATGATTTTCTATACTCATAAATTATGTTTATAGTATAAAAACATCTGTATATCAATTTAATCATTTTTAACATCGATTCTTTTCTACAATCTTGAAATATGTGATGGCATGAAATACTAATATTCACATTTTGTAGGTGACACCAAAGGTGAAGAGAGTTTGGGAAGCATGATAGAGCACACAATAGTAATCCCTGGTGTTTCTATGCCTGCCCAGTAGACTCAGACATCAAATCAGTAGTTAGAACTAGGAGCATGCTGACAAGACCATGAAACACAATTCAACATTTTATATATAAAGTAACTGTACACCAGACAAGTGAAGTGATGTATCTAAGATGACATCACCATCTCTTAGGCAGACTATCATCTCAGCACAGGGTAAAAATTGTGATGTTTGTGTATGGTTCATGCACTATATGAGCAATCATTTTGTCATCTCCAAGACAATTACCTTGTAAGGATGTCAGGGAAGCATCAAATACTCTTACCCTTAGTGTTCCCTAGCAGCATCTGTGGCCCCAAATGCTCTCCCTTTTTGAAGGAGATATTCTCTTCCTTCTTAAATGCCAACTAATGTACTGAAGAAGTCACTAAGTGTTGATTAGATAACAAGACTTGTGGGTAATGGAAGTGCTTTAAAAAGAACTGAAAAGTTCATTTAGTACTATGGGAATGTTTTGGGGAAGTTAACATAGTACTTTATAGAAAATTGGGCTTTGGAATTCAGTAGAAAATCCATTGGACAGGGTCAATGGATTGAATTCCAGTTCTGTATTCTGGACACGCCTCTTCCACTATATCATTAAAGGGCTTGGCAAAATTTCCCAGATGAGTACTTCATGATGCTGAGCTCTGGGAAGGACTATAGTGTCCATCCATTCACTTACAGCTTGATATACACAGAGATTTGGGCTTTTGTGAGAAAAGAGCATAAAGTGTTCCTTGTGAAGAAATAATCATGGCCTCACCTGTGCCCATGGAGAGGACAGAATCCTGACATTCTCATCAACCATTTTCATTAAGTTAAGAAAATTATGATCTTTATAATCAAAACGATTCTGGAAAATCATGGAGCAGATCACATTGCAGGGAGCACAGCTCAGGATAAAAGTGGGATCACACGGTGTTGCTAAAGAATGAGAAACAATTTTAAAACACCACTAAAAGAGACAAATGAAACACTTTATTTATGAAATAATAGGTAAAGGTAATTTTAGAAACATTACAACAATTTTCCCTTACAAATTGCCTAAGAGAAAAATATTCAACATATATAAAAGCAAGACATCACTTTTATCTTAATCTGAGTATTTGATTTCAACCTAGCTAAATAAATAATGATTTTCTGAAAAATACTCAATTGACATTCACTGCCTTTATTTGTACCCTTTTCACCCAAGGTGCCTGGTAATTTTCAAGAAGAGAAAGAAAAAAATATTTAAAGAGGTAATTTTTATATCATTTTATATTTAAAGTTGTCAGTGCTGAAAATCATTTGTCTACAAAATTTATAGAAAATTAAGTGCTGATATAGAGAAACAATTGTAACCTCATAATGTTTTCTGTATAATGAATAGTTTAAAGAATCACGTGTAGAAGCAGGAGGGGAAACTCAATAGAGGGAGATTATGAGTGAATTCATGTATTTGAAGAAATAAGTGTAAAAAAGCAGGAAGCATTCATGTTATGTGATTTAAAAATACAAGTGAACAATTATTATAAAATGGATTGTTTTTGTTCTGAAATAAAAACACCATGTAGCCCTGGCTGGTGTGGCTCAGTGAACTGAGTGCTGGCCTGTGAAGTAAAGGGACTCCAGTTCAATTCCCAATGAGGACATATGCCTGGGTTGAAATTCAGGTCACCAGTAGGGGGTGCACAAGAGGCAACCACACACTGATGCTTCTCTCCCTCTCTTTCTCTCTCCCCCCTTTCTAAAAATAGAGAAAGAAAATCTTTAAAAAAAAAACAAACTATGTGATCTCACATGTAAGTCTAACCTACTAAAGAAAGCAAACAAATGAGCAAAATACAACCAGAAGTGTGGAAAGGAGGAACAAATTGACAGCGACCAGAGGAGAAGGGACAGAAGGAAAATGGGGGATAGAAGGGGAACAGTCTAGTCAAGGAACATGTATAAAGGACTCATAGTAATTGACCATAGGGTGGGGATTGACTGAAGGAGCAGTAGAGTGGGTGAAGCAGGGAAGAGCAACAAGGGGGAAAATTGGGACAACTGTAATTGATCAAAATTTTTAAAAAACAATAAAAAAATGAAAAACAATTTCAAACATAAACCCCAGGTAAGTAAAACAAAGAAAAAGGTAAATTGATAAATGGAGTTCTTTAATCCTTTATTTCAATGTTTAATAATATTTTCCTTCTGCAGAATCCAAGGTGGTAGTGTAGTAGGCAGATATTACACTCATTTTCTTCAAGCACCAACCTGGAATTACAGCTAAAATATAGAGCAATCTTCCTGAATATCCAACTGAAGATTAGGAAAAGTGATGTCTTACACCCAAGGATTTACAGAAAAATCATCAAGAGTGGTAGCCAGGGCAGAGATGTGAAAAGTGCTGACTCTCCCCCACAAGCAGAAGCTGACTTTCTAGAGGGATATCTCAGCGCAGGGTTCCCCTGGGGAAGTGTGGGGTCTCGACCCTAAACCAGACTCCCCATCCCAGAGCACCAGGCCAGGAAGAGTCACCACATGACATCTGGCTGTGAAAATCAGCAGGGAATCTGTCCAGCAAAGAGAGTCAGGAGTCTGCTAGAGACCCAGGTGCCCTCATAAATGGCCAATGCACAAAATCTCATTTCAACCACTCACCCTGGGCTGCAGTGGAGAAAGGGCATAGCAGACTAGAGTTGCGTGAGGAGAGACTGGAGTTTGTAGCTCTGGGAAGAGAGCTGAATGAACAGCCCCCAGGGTCCTTGTGTTGAGTCCCTCTCCCACACTTCAGACACCATCTTTCTTGGTTGGAACTTCACTTTCTGGACTCCCTGTAGCCCCACCCTGACAAGCTTTTCCCCAGGTGAGAAGTTAGCTGCCTGAGCTGGGATGTGGAGGTCTAGGTAGACACAGAAGGTGTCAATGACTGAATTGTGTGGCTTTGGTGCAGGGGCCATTCCCCATTCCAGGTTTGAGTGAATCTGACCAGTACCACACCTCACAGGACATCCACTAGCCCCACTCTCCTGGCTTCCAGCAGCCCCATCCTCCCAACACCTGGTGACTCTGCCCTGCAAATGTCTAGGTAGAATCCTGGACAGACTGAGGCATGTGGCTCTAGCCAGGGGCCACTTCTTCTACCTTCCCCAAGTCTGACCAGCCCTTCCCCCTCACAGAATAACCATTAGGCCCATCCTTCCAACTTCTGCAGGCTCTGCAGTGCTCAGAAAGGCTCCTGACAGAATATGGGACAGACTGAGTTGTGTAGCTCCAGGATAGGGTCCATGTTCCCTTGTATGCCATACTAATGCCAAGCCCTCCATTTACATGACAAAATCTTGATCTGTATGGGCCTGATAAACTGCTGGCATCACCCTGACTACTCCCTGATACCTTGACCCTACACAAAAGTATGAAAGCTCCCAGTGGATGGCAGCTAGACTTGGCATACCCTGGAACATTTGCTGAGTAGTCTCAGACCCAGCAGTGGCATGGTGTTTCAATCTGTATGCGTCTAATGAACACCACTCACTTCTTCCTAGTGACTCAGAGAAACTACTTCATGTACTGCTAAAGGCTCTTTCAGTGACTGAGGCTAAAGGCAACTGGCAGAAAGAGGGAGATCTTGGGACGCCTTGGGACTTTGGTTGACCCATGGCCGAGCCCAGTGCTGGTAAAAGCAAGCCTTGGTGCACAGCTTGGTCCTTCCCACACACACACAGGCCCAGTAGAGGGAGCCCCAAACTGTAGATCATGTTATACCTCAAACAGCCAGTGACAGGCAGATCAGCATTGGCCTTTAAGTGTCTTCCAAGAGGTTGCAAACCAACACGTGGCAGCTTCATTTTTCTAGAATCAGCCCCATTCAAAAATGGTTCAATAGCAATCAAAACTCACTTACAACACAAGGGATCACATAACCCAAAGAAAGGCCACCCAGCTCAGGTCATCAAGGAGATGGTGCCTCTGGGAGTCATAAAAGATCTACCTAATAGGTAGAAACAAACACAAATAAGCAGCAAAAGGAGAGACAAAGAAACATGACCCAAATAAAAGAACAAGAGTAATCTCCAGTAAGATTTATATGAATTGAGGTAAGTAATTCATCAGATATACAGTTCAGAAAATATTATAAGGATGCTTAAGGGACTTAGTGAGAACTACAACATGATCAAGGAGATTGAAACCATAACAAAGAACCAGTTTGAAATGAAGACTACACTGGAAAAAAATAAACTGTAGGTTGAATGAAGCCAAGTAATCAAATCAATGATTTGGAAGAAAAGGGGGAGGAAAAAACACCCACCCAACTAAACAAGCAAAAAAAAAAACCCACCAATTTTATTTTATTTCATTTCATTTTTTATTTTTGTTTATAAATTACTTTAATGTTGTTCAATTACAGTTTGCTGCATTTTCTCCCCACCACTCACCCCAACCCAGGAAAACCCACCACCTTCCCATACTTCCACCCTCCCTTTTCATTTTGTGCATATGTTTTTCATAGTAGATGCTGAAAACCCTTCACCCCACAGTCCCCTCTCTCCTCCCCTCTGGCTATTGTTAGATTGTTATTAATTTCTCTGTGTCTGGTTATATTTCTTTTGCTTTTTTTTCTTTTGTTGATTATGTTCCAGTTAGAGCTGAGATCATATGGTATTTGTGTCTCACCACCTCACTTATTCCACTTAGCATAATGCTCTCCAGTTCCATCCATGCAGTTGCAAAGGGTAGAAGCTTCTTCTTTCTTTCTGCTGCATGGAATTCCATTGTGTATGCATACCATAATTTTTTATTCATTCATTTACTGATAGGCACCTAGGTTGCTTCCAACTCTTGGCTATTGTAAATCGTGCTGCTATGAACATTGGGGTGCTTACATTCTTTTGGATTGGTGTTTTAGGGTTCTTAGAATATAATCCTAGCAGTGGAATTGCTGGGTGAAAAGGCAGATCTATTTTTAGTTTTCTGAGACAATTCCATAGTGTTTTCCACAGTGGCTGTACCAGTCTGCAATCCCACCAATAATGGATTAGGGTCCCCTCTTCAAAACTTCTCCAACACTTGTTTGTTGCTTTGTTTGTGATAGACATTCTGACTGGTGTAATGTGGTATCTCATTGTGGTTTTAATTTGCATCTCTCTGACAGCTAGTAATATTGAGCATCTTTTCATGTGTCTCTGGATCTTCTGTATGTTCTCCTTGGAGAAATGTCTAAGTCCTTTGCCCACTTGCAGGTCTTTGCCTTAATTGGGTTGCTTGTCTTCTTAGAGTGGAGTCGTGTAAGTTCTTTGTATATTTTGAAAATTAAACTCTTGTTTGAGGTATCATTGGCAAATATGTTCTCCCATACAGCTGGTTCTCTTTTTATTTTAATACTGTTTTCTTTAGCCATGCAAAAGCTTTTAATTTTGATGAGATCCCATTTGTTTATTCTTTCCTTTATGTCCCTTGCTCTAGAAGACATATCAGTAAAAAAGTTTCTACGTGAAATATCAGAGATTTTCCTGCCAATTTTCTCCTCTAGGATTTTAATGGTGTCATGGCTTATATTTAAATCTCTTATCCACCTTGAATTTATTTTGGTGTATGGTGTAAGTTGGTGCTTGTGTTTCTTTTTTTTTTTTTTTTTGCATGTAGCTGTCCAGTTCTCCCAACACCATTTGTTGAAGAGGCTATTTTTACTCCATTTTATCTTGTTGCCCCCTTTGTCGAATATTAATTGGACACAGACATTTGAATTTATTTCTGGGCTCTCTGTTCTGTTCCATTGGTCTATGTGCCTGTTTTTATGCCAATACCAGGCTGTTTTGATTACAGTGGCCTTGTAATACAGTTTTGTATCAGGTATTGTGATCCCTCCTACTTTGTTCTTATTTCTCAAAATTGAAGCTGCTATTTGGGGTCATTTATGGTTCCATATAAATGTTTTATTCTTTTCTTTTTTAAATTTT